CGACGCGGCTGGCCAGCTGCCAGCGCGATTTCGGCCAAAGAGCCGACATCCACGCAAGATCGTTTTGGGCGTGGTATCCGGCGCAAATACGTCGCACTGCCAGGCGCCGCGGCCTAAAAGAATCGCGCGTGCTCTTGTGGGGGCGGCGAAAACGGTCGTGCACCAAGGAAATTCCTTTGCGCGCCCCCCGCGCTGGCAGTTCAACCGGACCGCGCGCGAAGGAATTACGCGAGACTTCGTGGCACACAAAGGAACTGCAGCAACGCCCTTTGAGTTGCGCTCTTCTCGCGCGGCGACAGCTCCGAGCTGGAAAGGAAATGAGGGCGGGGCAAGGCAAGGCAGAGGAAGAGGAAAAAGAAGAGGAGGGCGATAAAGAAGCGAAGGAAGCAACGGAAGGAAGCCAGGATGCGCGCAAGCGAAGTGAACGCTGCGCGCCGAGACAGTTGTTCGTTCGTTCGGTTGGCCGTGCGGCAGATGAATAGAAAAAGGACTGTTTGCTGCCTATCGAATGGACTTTCTGGGAATGAGACTCGCGCTCTCTTCCGAGCCCCCTTTCCCGCGCCCCGTTGCGAGCGCGCGACGATTTCTTCTGGCCCGCGGGCAGAGAACTGCCAGTTGCTGGCGCGCGGTCTTTCCACCCGCCACGCGCTGCGAACACATGCGACCAGCTAAACGCACTTGCCGCGCGAACCGCCAGCTCCAAATACCGACGCCACGCCGATCCCCGCACCCGTGCCAGGCACCCTCTTAACGACGCCCCCTTCCGGCGTAAAACCAATAAAACACTTTGTTTTTGCTGGTGCGCTGCGCGAACACCGCGCCTCCGCGCCCAACGGTGTAGCTGCCACGGCACATGCGTGGCGGAGCGTGCTGATGTCTGCGTCGTTACTTTCCTTCCTTCGAACACTAGCGGGGCAAGGGGGGGAGAGGGGAGAAGGGGAGGGGAGGGGGGGGGAGGCGAAGGGGGGAGAAAGGACCAATGACAGCGGGGTGATGACGACGATCAAGTAATTAGCTGTCTCTGGGCGGCATCACGGATAGCTTGAGTGTGAGAGGGGTTCGTGGTATCGACCTCTGCGAAGCGGAGAGCTGGCGGCAACGAGCTCCGGATAGCTTTCCAATATTGTGCTGTTGTTTGCTCCGCCCAATTCAGCCGGGGACGGCCTACCCTCCTGCGTGTCCACTGCCTGGGTTGCAATGTGACGGGATCAAATGTAACCCCATGTGCAGGGTGATTGGGTTCAGCTCGAACGATGGCTTGGTATAGTAGCAGTTTGTTCCTGGCGTACGCTGCACTGAACTTGACGATAGGCTTGTGTTCTCGTCCTCCCTGTCGGAGGGCGTCTTCGGCCGCTTGGTAAACTCTTTCATTCGTGTTGGCTCTATTGACATATGTCGTTTCCAATTTAAGGATTTTTCTGAGTCCTTTGAGCTGAAAGGCGTCGAGTCGATTCAATGTGCCCTGAGTGAGCTGGGCTGATTCGAGGCCGTACAGGAGCTTAGATTTGATGACTGCGTCTTGCACTTGCAATTTGAATTTGGCGTTGCAGCTGCTGTGTCTCCAGAACAGGTCCATTTTCTTCAGCGTTGCCATGCATGCTCCAATTCTCGCTTGTACTTCCCTCGTGCTGTCGCATTTTTCGTTCAGGCGGCATCCCAGGTATTTTACCTCGTCCATCCGTTTAACGCTCGTGCCATCGGCAAAATGTATGTTAGGGCGCCCATGTGCTGCGACAACCTCGCACTTCCCCTTGTTCAGCTTCATTCCATATCTGGCTCCTTTGTGTTCGATTGCTGCCAGAATCCTGTTCAGTGCCCCGGTGTCCTTAGAGACAACAATCGTGTCGTCAGCGTACAGGATTTCGTCGAAGTTCGCCCCCTGTGCCCTGTGACCCGCTATGCGATTATCCACAGCCTGGTGGACGTCGTGGAACATGACAGTCATGGCAGCCAAGAACAAGTACGGCGATAGGGGGCATCCCTGTCGAATTCCGGACTCCTGCGAATACCAGTCGGACGTCTGGCCGTCGTATTCAACTTTGAACTTGGGGTTTTCGTATAATGATTTGATAATATTTTGCAACTTGATCAGCACTCCCATCCTCTGCAACGCCGAAAACAAGCCCTTTCGGGTAAGTTTATCGAAGGCTTTCTCCCAGTCTAGGAGTACTAGAGAGACCTGTTGGCCTGTGATTTCTGCCTCTTCGGCGGCCCTGCGCACGCAATGTATGGCTGCGGAGGTGGATCGTTTTGCTCGGAATCCGAACTGGGTCCGTTGCATGTGCGCCTCTAGACCAGCCGCTAACCGTTTTTGTATTAGCGACGCGTATATTTTGTAAATGGTGTTCAATAGAGATATCGGTCTGTAGTTGGCAAGGTTGCTCGTGTCTCTTTTTTTGAATATCAGAATTACGCGCGCTTCCAGCACATCTGGAGGGATGTGTTCGTTGTCCCACCAATCATTAAGCAGTGCTAATATTGGATCCAGGGTCTGCTCTGTGAGCTCCTTGTATACCTCGGTAGGTATGTCGTCAGGCCCCGGGGCTTTACGGCGTTTCAATTTTTTGATAGTTGCTTTTAATTCTTCCTTACGTAGCGGCCCTAGGTCTACGAGGACCGGCGTTGTGACGATCGAATCCTCGCTTAGCGCTTCGTTCTCGGCTTGTTGGCGCCCCCACTGCTCTGTCGCCAAATGCTTCGCCATGTCCTCCGCCATTTGGTGCCTAGGTATAGGCGTGCCGTCCTTCTTTTTTACATGGTACGGCTGTGGTTGGTAATCCTTCTTAAGGCTTCTGATTCCCATCCATCTGTCGCGAATATCTAGCTCCTCGCGCACTGTGTTCAGTACGTGCTGCCTTATATCTTCTCTGCGGGTGCTGCGGAACATCTGTGTCAAGGCAGCGAAACATCCGAGTTTGCCGGCGGCCAGCATCCTGTGCCTTTGGTCAAGAAGCTTCTCGCTCCGGCGCGAGATGGTTTGGTGTTGCGCTTCGCGACGGTCCCTCGGCAGTGAAGCGCAAGCTCGCTTAGTGGTTTCCCTTGGATCCGCGGTGTCCTGCAATGTCTTGTGGAAGGATTCATTGACGTGTATCCGCTCTTGCATGTTGCACTCTCTGTATTTGGCTCTGCTTGGCCCACGTGACTTGTCGTTGGCTTTCAATTTGATCCTGATCACAGCGGTAAGTGGATAGTGATCTGAAGCGATGTTCGCCGATGTGTCTGTCTCGCAATCCAGAACAGAATTCTGCCATCGTTGCGTGGCCACGAAGAAATCGAGCTGCTCGTGCGCTCCTCTCTTGAAAGGGCTGTCTAACGCCGTGCCTGGCTCCCTGTAAGTGGCGAGTTTGCTTTGGTCCTTCTGGAAGAATGTGTTTGCTGCTTTTAACCGATGCGTTTGACTGAAGGTCAGGAAGAGGTGGCGGTTGTACACTGATTCCTCAGCTCTTCCCAGCGGATTGGTGTTTTCAGGATCAAACGTATGTTTGCCTATCACCGCCGCTTCTTCCCCGGACGTCGCGCAGTGTACCCGTGCGTTCCAATCTCCCATGATATATGTTGGACCATTGCCCCGTCGTCTGGTGAATTCTCTTTCAAGTGAATCATAAAAGGCTGTCTTCTCAATTTCTGGTCTTTCTGCGGTTGGTGCGCACACAGTGATAATGTGGATGGGTGGCGTGTGCGCCAACGACAGGGTACATATACGATCGTTCACGGGGGTCACGTCCAGCACATGTTTCACGTGCTCCTTTTGGATCATAAACCCCACTCCTGCTGCAAACCGGGCGGCTTCCCCTGTTTTGGGTTCCCCTGCAAAGTATCGGTGGCATTCTGTGCCCTGTTCCTTCGAATTGGTGTTTATGTGTGTTTCTTGCAAGCCAACTATCCCGACATTGTTTCTTCGCATCCAGGCTTCGATTTCGTCCCGCTTCCCCGCGATTTTCATGCCTTTGGTGTTCAGTGAGGCAATGCGGATGGTGTTTCCGTATTTCACTGGCTCCGCCAATTGCATGGGTATGTTGGGTTCCTGGGCCTGGGCCCGGGTGTCATTTCCTTGCGTTCTATGTTTCGTCAGCCTGTGCCCCCTGCGTGCCGCTCGACGTTTTGCCGTGCGTGTGCGTCTCCGTCTGTCCTGGGCGTCAGCGCTACGGATTCCACGATTCGTGTTGCGAGTGGGCATAGGCGTGTGGCTGGTCGGTCTCCGCTGGGGGTGTCCCCGCGGCTGACCCGTCGCGCCTCTGACGGCGCCAGCTCTGTTTGGGCTGTACGTTTCCGTGCGCGCTTGTGCAAATAAAGAAAAGTGTGTGCCGACAGGCCACCTCTGGTGAACCCGCCAGCAGGGGCGACCAGGCGTGCGAGCTTCTGCTCTGCCCAGTCTCCCCAACGGAAGGTGTTGGGCTTCTGCCCTGCCTTCCGGTGGGGGGTGAGATAGTGAAGGTGCGTGTGTTGTGTCACTGTTGCGGCCTGCGGGGGAAGGATGAGTGGGGAAGTTGGACGGGGAACCAGGGGTAGACCGTTCGGCTCTCCTCTGCCGGCGGCAGAAGTCGTTGAGAATAATGGTTTTTATCATCAACGGCGTCTCGCTGCCGCCTGTCTCCTCCGCCTCTCCCGGCGGTCTCCAGGCGAGTAACTGCTCCCTTCCATGGCAAGGGGGAGGAGCGGGGGGGGGGGGGAGGAGGCAGGAGGGGACGGGAGAGGGGGAGGCAAGGGGAGGGGCAGGCGGGGGGAAGGCGCGGGAGGGAAGGGGGAGGAGAAGAAGGGGGGGAGGCAGCAAGAGAGAATAGCTTTGGATTCTGAAAAAGTGAATCCCCCTGGAGGGGCCCCTCTGTCGCCGCCGTCTTCACATGCCCTCGAGACCGTCGTGCACCACCAGCTCTGCGCGGGAAGGGAGGGGCGGGCAGGGGGAGGGAGGGAGGGAAGGAGGGGGAGGGGGGCAGGGCGCGGAGCCGCGGAGCGGTCGTGCTCCGTTGTGCTTTCTGTGTGTTCTTTCTCCCCTCAATGCCCTAGCCGTGGCGCTCGGGCGCCTTGCCGAAGGGCTTCGGTTTCTTCACAACTACCATCTCTATGTCCATGATGCCCGTGCCCTTGGCTTTCTCCAAGATCATGTCGGCGCCCTCGTCCACGTTGCGCCGGATCGTCTTCAAGACGTCCTTGTCCACCGCAATCGTGGTGATCAGCTCCGTGAAGTCGTGCTCGGCCGACAGGAGTACCTCGTCCTTGTAGTGCATCGACCGGCCCGGCGCGGCGACCGACATCGGCCACCACGTTCGCAGGTACTCCTTCTCTGCTCCCATCTCGAGCAGCGTCGCATAGATGCCCTCCGGCGTGCTCTCGATCGCCTTCCGGAGCGGGCCGCCCGCCATGAAGGCCGACACCTTGTCCGTCATGCCCTCGGTGCCAATCTTCGCTTTGATCTTTTCCAAGGCCTCCTTCATCTTATTGTAGTACTTCACCTCGAAGGTGATGAGGGGGCCGGCCGAGCACGCCTTGCTCAGTAGGTCGCTGGTTCCGGCGTCGCGCGCGCACGCGCGGACAACCTTGTCCATGCCCTCGTAGAACGCCTTCATGCTCGCGGCCCGGCCCTTCCACACCGCAGCGTTGTTGCTGAGCGGGGCATCCAACTTCTGTGCCAGTTTCTGGATGTTCGTCATGGAGGTTTGCAGCCGACCCAACATCACTATATCTTCCGTGGGCTCTTCCTCGTCCATCGGGGTTCCGGCTGCCGGGGCTGCCATCCCAGCGAAGGTGCCTCCGAGCGTCAGGCGTCGGTGTTTCGTGCCTACTTGAGGCTGGGCCTCCTTGGCCCCCTCCTCCTTGGCCTCCTCCGGGTGGCTGGCCAGGAAGTTCTGCAGCACGGCCTTCAAGTCAGTCTTCTCCGTCGCCGCCTGGGCCACCATTTTGGGTTCCGGCCCATGGCCTCGAGCAGGGGTGCTGGGTAGTCCGTGTTGCTCTGCTCAAATGCTTGGTCCGCCGCTAGGAAGTTGACCAAGAAGTCGGCCAGACAGGGCGCCATGGCAGCCGGCTGGGGGAGTGAGTAGCTGAGTAACGCACCGCACAAGCTTTGGAAGTATTCACGCGCGCCCTATACGCGTGCAGCGTTCGAGCCACTTTGTGTTGATGTGTTTGTTTTCCTGTTCTGAACCCAATCCTCCTCGTCCTCGTCGATGAGATACATGCCGCAGTCGCCTCGGACCACCGCTCGGTTCCCCGGCAGCATGTCCGAATCCTCGAGCTCGGTGTTGAACCTGCTGCGGCCCGGGTCTGACACTCGCCACCGCCTGGCCGCTCCCGCCGCGGCGCTCGGAGTCACCTTGTGCCCAAGCGCCTCTGCGAGCTGCAGCCCCCGGAGGTGGGTGTCCTCTTTCTGCCCCTCAGACAGTGGGTCGAATCCGCACACGCTGCCCCGAACGCGCTCTGGCCACCGTGCCGAACGGTTCAGGGGCACCACGCGCTGGTTCGCGAGATCGGCGGCCTCGATCCTTAAGTCCAGCGTGCTCACGACCCACCGCCCAGCCCCCAGCTCGTACAACAAAATTATGTGATGCCTCCTGATTTTCGGGCCATCCGGGGACTCGATGCACACCTGTATCAAGTCAATGTCCAACGTCTCAGCCATGGATGCGAGATGACGGTGTCACTACTTCTGGCCGCTGCTGGGCCGTCGGAGCTTCGCCGTCAGGAGGGGCAGCAGCCGACGTCGCCTGGGGCCTGTCGACGACGGCTCTCTGAAGACCCCCTTGCCAGCCCACGCGCCCAACGACAGCCAGCGCAAGTAGCCGCCGACGAGAACTCCGACGATGATTCCGATCCTCAGCCCCGCGCACAGCCAACACCACGCCGACGGCCAGGCCGCCTCCGCGCTCGGCCGAGAGGGCGCAGGTGCCAGCCCAGCCGCCGTCCAGCGGTCCAGCTGCCCCTGGATCGCGTCCACGACCCCGCGATCTGGCCGAAATCGCAGTGGCAGATACAGGGCTGAGTCGAAGACAAGTGTGTGCCAAACACCGCGCCGACGCCGAAAACCCCTGAGTCTGCAGTGAGTGTGTCGACCACCCACTGCAACCCCTGAGCCAGGATGACTACAGAGAGCCAAAGAGCCCGGCCTCCCGTTCCCCGAGGAAAACCGTCAAGGACTGAAAACGTAGGCGAACTGAACTGGAGACTGCCGGCATTGCCGCCAGTCTCTGTCCTCGAAAGCCAAAGCCTGCAATTTGGGAAAAATCGCTAGCGCGGATGAGCTCCTCGGATGAAAGAGCTACCGCGCTGTTTTTTCCCACAGCGCAAGCACCGATGAATGCTGCACCACCATTCGTCACTTCATGCAAGTATTGGGCCGATCTCGGCGGGCAAGCTGCGGGCAAAGGCAGAGCAGTGGGGTTGGACTGCAGATTTCCGCGCCCACCTAACCAACGCCACCCACCATCGCATAGAACGGGCTACCGCGCTGTGGCCGAAACGCCCCCTCACAATGATGAGCCGCAAAAGCCGACATGGACTGAGCTCGGGACTGCAGGCATTGCCGCCGGGCTGTGTCCCAGAGGCCAAAAGCTCGAATGGGTAGGGAACCGCTAGCACGGAGGAGCTAACGAATGGAACAACTGCCCAGCTATAGTCGAAACTGCCGTTTCACAGCAAGTAACAAGCACATATGGACTGCAAGTCAACTCCACATGCAGGAAAACGCAACGCACATAGCCGCTTAAAACGCACACGCCTGACATATTCACTCACCGCGACGAAAACAAAAAGCGCTCCGATAATGAAAAGCTGGGGAAGGCTCACCCCCACACAGCCGAATCCGGACGACGCGCGCGGAGGCCCCACCGTTCATTGTGCGGCGGCAAGCGAGCCCATAGGGCAAGTAGCGGGACGGCTGGAAAGCTCCCCCGCCACGCTCTGCACCGCCTCCCCGCACGGGGGAAGCAAGGGCCAGCAGCGCCGTGGAACAGGACGGCCAGGAGGGGGAGGAGGAGGAGGAGGAGGAGGAGGAGGAGGAGGAGGAGGAGGAGGAGGAGGAGGAGGAGGAGCACTCTGCTGGACTCTGCTGAGCGCCGCGCAAGCGGCCGATCAATCACTGTCACCACTGTCCTCCGCTGCCGCTGCAAGCTGCTGCGAAACGCCTCCACCGCTGCCGCAGGCGCTCGACACACGAGGAGGAGGAGGAGGAGGAGGAGGAGGAGGAGGAGGAGGAGGAGGAGAGGAGGAGGAGGAGGAGGAGGAGGAGAGAGGCGGGAGGAGGAGGAAACGAGAAGAGGAGGAAGCGAGAAGAGGAGGAAGCGAGAAGAGGAGGAAGCGAGAAGAGGAGGAGGGAATCCTAGCAGGTATGGCGAGAGAGTAGTCTGATCGACCTCCTCCAGAAGCGAAGGCCGCTGGGGTGGGATGGCTGCGTATTTTTATGACCCTGAAGTCAACAGCAACAGCAACAGGAGAAGAGAGGCGGAGGGGGAGGAGGCGCGAAGACGAGGAGGGGAGGCGGAGGGAGCAAGCGGAGGATGGAGGGAGCAGGCGAAGGATGGAGAAGGAGGATTAACAGAAGGGAGCAGGAGGGAGCAGGCGGAGGAGGGAGGAGGGAGGAGGAGGGAGGGAGGAGGGAGCAGGCGGAGGAGGGAGGGAAGGAGGGAGGGACTGTTTTGGACTGAGGAGGAGTGAAGGGCCAGGAGGAGGAGGAAGGAGGTCATTATAGGACATCGAGGATCGAGGGTGGAGGTTCTGGTTGCCCCGTTGATGGCCTCCAGGATCCTGCTCGCCGCCAGGGCCAAATTCCCGCGGAAATTCCGATCCGGACGCCCCCCCCCCCGACAAATCCAGGCTGCCGATTGTTCAGCACTTCAAGGAGAACAATCGCCCGCATGGCAGGGCGAGGAGGAGGAGGTTGGGGAGAGAGGGGGCATGATGCAGTTTCGCGCAGCAGGGGCCCAAATTTCCGCTTCGGAGGCCGTCGGATGCGTTCAGTGGCCTTGGGAGGTCTGGCAGGGCGAGGGCTCAGGCTTCGGGGGCTTCTGCATCCAACGACGAGGCGTGCGCATCTTGCGAACACGCAAGGTAGGCGACGACGACAAACGGCGACGACGACGGGCGACTAACGGCGACGAAGGACGATCGATGACGACGACAACGACGACAACTGACGACAACTGACGAAAAAACAACAACCGACGATGACGAAGCCGGACGACGATGAAACACGAACGACGCCGACGAGCGATAGGCGACCACGAACGAACACGAAGCACGCACGATGAACGACGGCGACGGTGAAGGACCGCGGACGACTACCGACGTGAACCAACGATGACGACGACGGACGACGACGACGACCAGAGATGACAAAGAAGAAGATGACGACAACGGACGAGGAGGACGAACGATGACGACCACCAAGACGATAACGACATCGTCGACGACGACGACGACAGACGACGGCGGACGACGACGGACGACGACGTCGACGACGACGATGACGACGGCTCTGGCGGCGGCGGCGGCGGCGGCTGCGACGACGACGGACGAAGGACAACGGACGATGAACGGCGGCCTGCAGCCAACGGCCGAAGGACGGCGACGAAGATGGCATCGACAGCGGCAGCAGAGGGCGAGCAGCGGGGGTGCGGGCCGAGGGGGGGGGGTCTGCGGAGGGCGGGGGCAACGGCGGCGAGATGTTGTTGTGTCTTCTTGATGTGCTGAAGTTTGCGGCAGAGGGGTGAAGGGGGGGAAGGTTTTCTGATTCTTCGAATGTCTCTCATGCTCTGCGGGCCCCTCGCCATCGCTCGGACGTCCATTCCCTGTGATTTTGTTTCGGTTTCGTGCGTGTTTTTTTCGGCGAATGGTCAAGGAGGCTCCTCCATGGTCCTCGCCGAGGACAAAACGCACACGTCCGAGCGATGCCAGGGCCCCAGGTGCTCCACATCAGCTGTGCCTCGTCCAGGCGCAGTCTGGGCTGTCCAGGGCGGCCGCGGGGGGGGCCCGAGTTGTGGCCCGATGGCAGCGCTGGTGCTCCCAGAAGATTTGCTAGAGGAAGCACTGACCCGGGTCAACGCAAACCTGGGTCAGTCGGGATTTGCAAGATACTGCGCGATCCTGCAGGATCCTGCAAGATCCTGCGCGCAAGCCAGGGTCAATGCACCCCTGGCTCTGCAGGATCCTGAAAAAATTCGGCGCTCTGGCTGACCCCTGTTTGCATCGACACCTGCCACTTGAGCCCCGATTTACTCTGCACATGTAAATCCTGTCCAGTGCGCAGTGGACCCAACGGAGCTCCGAGGCCGTTTCGTTCGTTCTTTCCTCGTCCACCTGCTCGTCGACTTTCTCGGAGGGTTCTACGTACAGATAGTCTTCGGGTGTTTTTTCCTTGGGGAGGAGCAGGGAGGTCGGAGGCGAGGGGAAAGCATTGGGGACGACTGTTTATTGTTGCGGGGAGCGGGATGGGAGGAGGGATGATACTGGGGGGGGAGGGAGATCGGGACGCGGCCAGTGAGCGCGTGAGTGCGGGCGGCGAGTGAGCGAGAGCGGGTGGCTGCTCGAGCAAGTGAGGGAGGAGGGTCAGGGAGGTCAGCGCCGCAGGGAGGCATGAGGCGGAGGCGGGGGGAGGGGGAGGAGCAAATGATTCGGAAATGGTGGCCTCCGCCGGTTTCGCGGCTGCTCCGCCGGCGGCGGTTCCGCCTTCGGCGGCACCGCCGGCGCCTGGGGAGCTGGGGGAACTGGGCCCCTGCACTGCTGCTGCTGCTCCTGCGGGTGCGGGCTCCTGCTCGCGCAGCTGCCGCTTCCTGCTGCTCGCGCTGTTGCCGCTTACTGCTCGCACTGCTGCAGCTGCTGTGGTTAGGGATACGACCGCCGATGCTGCCATGATCATGTGTCCGGTGCTGCTGCCGCTGCCGCTGCCGCTGCCGCTGCTGCTGCTGCTGCTCCTGACACTTACCCTTGCTGCTCTCTCCACTGCACCCCTGCCTCCTCTCCCTCCCCCTACCGTTTTCTCCCTCCATGTCCTTCGATTGCTGGAAACGTTCGGAGGAATAATACGAATGCGGTGCGAATGAGGTGGAAGCTCAGGTGGAGACGCAAGAGGACAAAGAAGAAGAGGATAGAGGATGACGACGACCACGATGACCGTTGCAGGCCTTGCGCTACTGCGGCTTAGTGAAGAGATGGTTTCGGGGACATTGCGATGCGTTTGTGCGTCCTCCCCGGCCCGAACAACCGGCGTCGCATAATGTCAGAGGGCTCGAATACATACCTCCCGCCACCACCTCTTAACCATCAGCAGCAGCAGCCGCGACGGTAAAAGCATGCGAAACAGGGGGAAGGAGGGAGAGGGGGGCGACGACGACACACACCTCTGGAGGTTATATGTCATAACTCATCAGATTCTCTGGGGGCCGGCTCGACCACGAGCCGCGGCTCAGTCCAAGTTGCCTTCGATCGACACGCAAGCATGCGCAGAAGGCTTCAATATTAATAAAAAACAACAGCATCAACATGTAGGTTCGAATACCACAGCGCATTTCTTGAATCGGTATTGGATCCCCCTCCCAGGCGCGCGGAGTTCGCAAGGGGCGGCGCCGGAGGCGCCCCTGGGGGGCCCAGCGCCGTCCAAGACATCAGAGCGGACCTCCGAGAAAGTAT